AAAGAGCTGGATTGAAGGAAAATGTCCTTATAAAACTTTATAGTCTTGGGAAGCTCTGATTTTGGTGAGTTTTATTAGAAAAGTAAAATAAGACATAACGCTTATTTTTTAAAAAGTTATATTCTGAATCTTTAAAATTCTGAATTCTAAAGTAGAAGGAATAAAACACTAGAACTTGTAGATGGTATCGTGATAGAACATCTACATGACCTTGTTGTAGATTTCCTAGGACACAATAAGCACTAATGATAAAAGAAACAATTGATAAAGTTGACTTCATTAAAACTAAAAACTTGTAGGGGCGCCTGGGTAGCTCAGTTGGTTGGGCATCCGACTTCGGCTTAGGTCATGATCTCACAGCTCGTGAGTTCGAGCCCCATATGGGGCTCTGTGCTGACAGCTCAGAGCCTAGATCCTGTTTCAGATTCTGTGTCTCCCTCTCTCTCTGCGTCTCCCCTGCTCGCTCTCTCTCTCTCTCTCTCTCTCTCTCTCTCTCAAAAATTGACATTAAAAAAATTAAAATTGGGGCACCTGGGTGGCTCAGTCAGTTAAGCATCCGACTTCAGTTCAGGTTCTGATCTCACGGTTTGTGAGTTCGAGCCCCGTATTGGGCTCTGTGCGGACAGCTCAGAGCCTGGAGCCCGCTTCGGATTCTGTGTCTCCTTCTCTCTCTGCCCCTACCCCACTTGTACTCTGTCTCTCTCTGTCTCTCAAAAATAAGTGAATGTAAAAAAAAATAATTACAATTAAAAACTTATGTTCAACAAAGGACAAGGTTAATTAAATTTATGTTACAGGCTGGGAGAAGATATTGGAAGCATGTATATCTGACAAAAAACTTGTATCGAGAATATACAAAGAATTCCTATAACTCCATAAAAAAGACAAACATTCGCATAAAAAGCGAAAGATTTGAACAGATGCTTAACAAGATAGAGGTATGGCCAATAAATAAGCACACGAAAGAGTTCTCAACATCACTAATTACTAGGAGATTTAAACCACAATGAGATCTCAGTTTCAGTTCTAGGTATTTTTGCCCTAAATGAAATTGAAAACCTATGTCCACGAAAAGAGTTGTACAAGAATGTTTATAGCAGCGCTGTATTCGTGCAAGTCTCAAAATGGAAACATCCTAGGGGGGTCCATCAACAGAATAAACGCATGGTCTCATCAAACACATTAGGGATAGTCCTGGATTGTATCTATATACCAGCAATTAAAAGGAGCAAGCTACTGATAAATGCAACGACATGGATGAATCTTAAAAACGTATTGGGAAGCCCAGACACAAGAACCTATACTGTATTATTCCATTTTTTTTTTTAAGTTTATTCATTTTGAGAGCGCATGCATGAGCATGAGTTAGGAGCAGAAAGGGGGAGAGAGAGAGAGAGAGAGAGAGAGAGAAGAGAGAGAGAGAGAATATATCCCAAGCAGGTTCCACGCTGTCAGCATAGAGCCCTACATGGGGCTCGAACCCACAAACTGTGAGACCATGACCTGAGCCCAAATCAAGAGTTAGACGCTTAACCAACTGAGCCACCCAGGCACCCCTGTAGGATTCCATTCTTACAATATTCTAAATTAGGCAAAACCAAGCTATGATGATACAAGTCAGATTAAAGGAATAGTGCTTGCTTAGTTGGTGATTAACTGGGAAGGGGCACGAGGAAACTTTCTCAAATGATAGAGAATATTCTCTGTCTTGATGAGATGTAGGTTACAGGGGTTATGAATTGTTAAAACGGATTAAACAGTACACTTAAAATTGTATAACATAAAATCTCTTTTAGATTTATTCAGAATGAAAGATGAATAGGAAATAGTGGACTAAAATGCACTACTTGTATGTGGAAAAGAATTTGAATATATATAACAACCTCTACATATCAGTAATAAGGCAAACATCTAAAAATGAGCATATATGAAAAGTTGGTTGGATTTTATCTTTAAACATGGTATTAAATGTATGAGGCCAGTTTGTTGTATGTTTTGTTTAAATGTTAGATGTTTGGAATTCAGAATGCTAGTCATTCCTCTTTTGGTGCATCACCAGCTAAGTGAGAAGAGCCACTTATGGGCCTCCTGACTGGCTCAGTCGGTGGAGTGTGTGACTCTTGATCTCAGGGGTGTAAGTTCCAGCCCAAAGTTGGGTGTAGAGATTCCTTAAAAAATTAAAAAATCTTCCAACAAATAAAGAAGAAGAGCCACTTAAGAATATTGGCAAATGTCATCGCTCCCCAATACAAATCTCTGAGAGAGGATTGGAGAACAGGAACAGCTCATTTCCCACTTTGTATCCTGAATTCAGATCCTGACCCCATTTACCTAGTGTATATATATATATATTTTTTTAGACTTTTTTTTTTTTTTAAGTTTATTTTTGAGAGAGAAAGCAAGTGTGCCAGTGGGGAAAGGGCAGAGAGAGAGGGGGAGAGAGAATCCCAAGCAGGCTCACACAGTCAGCACAGAACCCGATGTGGGGCTCAATTCCATGAGCGTGAGATCATGACCTGAGCCGAGATCAAGAGACACTTAAACCAACTGAGCCATCCAGGTGCCCCTATCCAGTATGCTTAATGAGTAAGCAGTTATATTAGAACCAGAAAATATGGTGAGCCCACTAGTTAAAAACAATCTCTCAAAGAATGTCACTTATAAGTAATCAAATTAGATTCTCATCCGTAGAGAGGGTTGACTGGGTAGGGAAAGATGGGAGGGGGTTAAAGGCAGTTCCCCTGTGGTGGATACCTTGTTTCACTGCAATGGTTTTGAGGAGGACCCTGTCTGGAAGACCTAAATGGATATTTTTTTTTCTGGGAGTAGTCTGAGAAAGCTTGTTCAAGTGCCTTTTACTGTCTGGATTCCGTTCAAGGAAACTGACGGCAGGGCTAAGCATACTTCCTGGAGGCTAGCTTTCCTTCCCCCAGACCTAGACAAAGTGGCTTCTGCCCCTCCGCCCCGCCTCTTATGTCCTTACTTGAGAGAATCCTGGATCCTTGGGTCAGGAGCCGAGCCAACCTGTGAGGAAAAGTTGGTCTTGTGGTACCCTCTGTGAATGGCTTATTTGTTGGGTTTTTCTAAACCTTGTTTCAGTGGCATAACTAAGGAATTGCGCAAATGTGACCCTACAGGATTTTGAAGACTTGGAGTTAGGCTTTAGTAGGCCTGCATGCATTAGAGTGATGGCCAAGAGCCCACTCCTGAGCGGGAGGCTGTGCTGTTGAAGATTGTGCGTGTGTGTCTCTCTCGCACGATTGTCATGGAAATGGATTACTTGTATATGAGGACAGCTATATCACACCTTTTCTTCACCCTGTTAAATGTTAGTACATACTTGGAAAAACCAGTGAGAAATTTTCAGCTTGCCATTGTCAGGAAATAGAACTTTGATACTTCTTCTGTATTGTATCAACAACTGCTAAATCACCCACCCACAACAAGTAGTTCACTTACAAACAACTTGGGCACATACATTTGTGGCAGAGTGATGAACCCTTAGTGCAGCCGGGTGAGCTTGCAGTTCGGGGTGCTGGTGGAGCTAGAAGTAGATCTTTCTTGCTTTCACTTAGCCAACTTTCCTGCATGCTCAGAAGGCTGATTACTTTGACCACAGTTCTGAACACTTCAAGGACCATGTGTCCCATGGCATAGGCGGGAGCTAGGCTTATGTGGGTAAAAATCACGATGTCCCTCTCTCTCATAGGTGGGGGAATTAATTGCAGAGATTCTTGGGTTCTTGAATTCCATCCCTGTATTCATGTCATATAATCTGTTTTAGACCTTAGAATACTCCCTGACTCTCTTGGGAGTCCTTGGGTTTTTTTTTTTCCCCCTTTCTTACCTTTCTCACTTGACATTAGTATCAGCCCTTGTTTTAATTTCTTTCAGCTAAGTAGCAGACTGTCTCCCCTTGCTCAACAAGGTTGGTAGAGACTATCTTTTCACTCTCTTTCAAAAACATTTCATTGGTTTTATTTTATTTTTTTTTATTTTTTTATTTTTTTTTAAATTTTTTTTTTCAACGTTTTTTATTTATTTTTGGGACAGAGAGAAACAGAGCATGAACCGGGGAGGGGCAAGAGAGAGAGGGAGATACAGCATCGAACAGGTTCTGCAGGCTCCCGGTTATCAGCCCAGAGCCTGATCGCCGGGCTCGAACTCATGGACCGCGAGATCGTGACCTGGCTGAAGTCAGACGCTTAACCGACTGCGCCACAATTCCAGGCTTCTCATTTTGAAACCATCTTAAAATCTTATATCAAAAGCTCTAATGTTTTAAAAAAAAAAAGTCTTCCTAGTAACATTGCTTTCCTCAATCTAATCAAGAATACTTTTAAAAGCAGAAGTTAGGGTTGATGGGGGGTGGGAGGGAGGGGAGGGTGGGTGATGGATATTGAGGAGGGCACCTTTTGGGATGAGCACTGGGTGTTGTATGGAAACCAATTTGACAATAAATTTCATATATTGGGAAAAAAAAGCAGAAGTTAGAAAATGGTGAATGATTACAGCTGTTCCTGGAAGTCATTGTGTTCCTTAGTAATTACAGGTTGTAATCTTTGGCTCTATTTCCTTGACACTTCCATCAAATTGTGCATGGTTGTCTTGAATGTAATGAAATTCGGTCTTAGCAGAAAACTGCTATTGGCTCACAGATTCAGGAGCAGAGAGAGCCATGATGCTGATGTGGGAATGGGGATGTTTATACCCTTTGTGTTGACAGAAGTCCGTTTTGGGGATATGCCATGTGGGCTTTTCCCAAGAACATAAACAATTTAGCAATTAGAATGGAGTCGTGTGTGTGCTTGACAGTGAAACAGGACAGCATGAGTTCTCATCAGGTTAAATGCTTTATAGTTTCTCTTCACTACTCTTTTTCTACCTTGCTTAAGCTCAGGCTTCTTTTCTTTGGTTCACAGCTCTGAACTTGGGTGTTCAAAGTCTGTTTTTACTCCACCATTCCTAAGCAATCCACCTTTGGGGTTGGGTCTCTGCAGGGTGAGAAAGATTGGCAGAAATATGAGACCGCTCGGCGGCTTAAGAAGTGTGTGGACAAGATCCGGAACCAGTATCGAGAAGACTGGAAGTCCAAAGAGATGAAAGTTCGGCAGAGAGCTGTAGCCCTGTACTTCATCGACAAGGTGAGCATCGTCCTGTCACATTGCTTAACATGTTCAGCTTATCAAAGATGTGGAGCTTGTTTACTCCTCCAGGCCCTGTGCTAAGTACTAGAGAAGCACCAACCTCTGGTTGAGTAAGGAAGGTAGAAGTGGAGAGAGAGGCGTTCAGAGTCTACTGCTATCTGAATCTGCCAGAAATACTGTGACATTTTCAAATTCTTTTTTGACTATAAGCTACCAAAAAATTTTATTTTACATCACAGACCCAACACATATATATATATGTATGTATGTATATATATATATATATATATATATATGTGTGTGTGTATGTATATATGTATATATGTATACATATACATATAGGTGTTTGTGTATAACTGAAACAAAAGTTGCACAAAACAATGTTTAGCTTTCTACAAGGAGTGAATTCTGACATTTTAAATTGTTTCTTGTTTTTAAAAAGGGTGGTTATAACCCTTAAAACTGGTTAAACCACTAATGTATCACAACTACAGTTTGAAAGACTATGTTTTAAAAAAATTTTTTTTATTAAGTTTATTTATTTTGAGAGAGAGAGAGAGAGAGAGAGAATCCCAAATAGGTTCTGCACTGTCAATGCAGAGCCCGACATGGGGCTTGAACTCATGAACCATGAGATCATGACCTGATCTGAAACCCAAGAGTCTGAAGCTTTAACCATCCGAGCCACCCAGGCACCCCTGAAAGACCGTGAGGGAGGTCAGTTTGTCAGTATCTTTTAGAAAATTTTAGTGCTGATTAGCTCAAATTCTGAGTTATCTAAAAAATAAGCAAAATTAAGAGACTCGCATGTTGAGTCTGATTGCCCAGAATAGGAATGCTGCTTTGTTTTATTATTATTACTTTTTTATAAACTGAAATATATCTCTTTAAGTAAAAAATGCTGAGAGAGCCACTCTTTTTCTTTTCTTTTCTTTTCTTTTTTTAAATATTTGTTTATTTTTGAGAGAGAACACAAGCAGGGGAGGAACAGAGAGGGAGACATGGAATCTGAAGCAGGCTCCAGGCTCTGAGCTGTTAGCACAGAGCCTGACTCGGCTTGAACCCGTGAACTATGAGATTATAACTTGAGCCGAAGTTGGATACTTAACAGACTGAGCCACCCAGGTGCCCCTGCTTTGTTTAAAAAAAAAAGAAAGAAAGAAAGGAACAGGAAGGAAGGGAGGGAGGGAGAAAGGAAGGAAGGAGAGAGAGAGAGAGAGAAAGAAAGAAAAAAGAAAGAAAGAAAGAGAAAGAGGTTCTTTCCTCCATCCCCATTTGAGAGAACAGAATAAAGAGAAGCTTGGTTTTCTGAGAAAGGATAATACTATTTTGATTCTCTGTACTTCATTTATTTGAAGAAGCAGCACTAGTGTAGAATCCAGAATTCTCAGACCTTGCAGACTGATGCTCTGTCCCAAAGAGAATTGGGAGACTTATTTGGGTTTCTTGTAGATCCTGTGAGATTGAAGTATTTTCATTTGTTCTCATTTTTCCCTCCTCCCTGGACAGCTTGCTCTGAGAGCAGGCAATGAGAAGGAAGAAGGAGAAACAGCAGACACTGTGGGTTGCTGTTCACTTCGTGTGGAGCATATCAATCTGCACCCAGAGTTGGATGGTCAGGAATACGTGGTAGAGTTTGACTTCCTTGGGAAAGATTCAATCAGATATTATAACAAAGTACCTGTTGAGAAACGAGTAAGTTCCTGTGGCCTGTGCTCCCTTGCCTGTTTTTTCTTTCTTCCATTCAGTCATTCAACAGTTACTGAGTGCTTTTTGTATGCTCTGCATTTTGCTCAGCACTAGAAGAAAATGATTTGAAAGGGAGGGGAGAGGTGTTGTTGGTTGTCCTGTGTACCTCCTTTTAGTCCCTGTCCCTCACCTCCTCTGCTCCATGCTACCTTTCTGGGATTAGGGGGCCACATCCTGTAGTAGTATTCAACAGAGCATGCTGTAGAGAGTGGGCCCTTATGACAAATTTCAGCATAAGATTTAACTCACCATGTTGTAATGATTCAACCATGTTTTAGTATCCCCTGGTCATGTTGCACATTTGTCATTTTTGTAGCTTTGCTCAGCCTCTCCCCAACTCCTGACTGAGCAAAGCAGTAGCCTGTTATCCTCAAACCTCTGAGCCCACAGCTGAAGACGGTGCTGCAGGGCCCCCATAATCCAGTCCTTTAACAGCCTGATGTCTAATCAGGTAATTGGGCTTTGCTGGCTGTGGCAGTGGTCCGTATTAAATGAGGCTAAAGAAACATGACAAATATAATACCTTACCTTAGATTGGGTTCCATACTGGGGAGGTAGAGGACATCACTAGGTCAGCTGACCAAACTGGACCACTAAAGTATGTCCTCATGCAGATTTATAAAGTTGATGAGTACTGTGCATATGTAAGGCAGTATCTCTATCCTTAGAAAATTCTTGGAAATACCTTGAGGTATTTAAGGGTAAAGGACTATAATACAAGTACCCATAAATGGTTCAGAACAAACAATGAACATGTATATACACACACATAGAAATGGGGCAGACATGTGTACTATGTCAGTGGCAAATGACGTGTAAAATGGTAATAATGGGTGAATCTGGTAAAGGATGTCAGTGTTCCTTGTGCTTTTTTGTTTTCCAAGTTTTTGTACGTTTGCAATTATTTCCAAAGTAAAGGCTTTTCAAATAATAGGTTCTTCTATTTCTTTTAGGTTTTTAAGAACTTACAGCTATTTATGGAGAACAAACAGCCTGAGGATGATCTTTTTGATAGACTCAATGTGAGTGGACAAAGTGCAGTGGGTTGGAGGAGGGGCCAGAGCCACTCGAGCTCCTAAAGGAGAGGTTTGCCCAGGGGTGGCTTGGACTCTCCTCCTGTGCCATCCTATCCTAGACACACTTCCTCCCTCAGGCACATAGTGAATTCACGACCAAAGTCCTGAGACAGGTAGACAAACCCTGCCTTTTATCCTCTTCTGGCTCTTAACAGAGTCTTCTCTTGCTGGATGCCCAGCCACCTCTGCTGGAGACCAAAGCCTGATAGCTTATCATGGAAGGTCTTAATAGGGAAGGACACATTTGTTTTATTGGCCTGCTTAAGATTAAAGTACTTCATAGGGAGGTATCATGCAAGCCTGTAATTTGGAATTCTTCTTTTTTTTTTCTAACTTCTCACTGGCAAGGCAGTAGACTTGGCAGAGTTGAGATTGCACTGGCATAAATGTCCTAGGGCTTGCTTGCCAGAAGGGGCAGAGTGGTAGGGCTTTTACCTAAATCCCAATATACTCTGTGCCTTGTCTCCTCCAGACTGGTATTCTGAATAAGCATCTTCAGGATCTCATGGAGGGCTTGACAGCCAAGGTGTTCCGTACATATAATGCCTCCATCACGCTACAGCAACAGTTGAAAGAACTCACAGCCCGTAAGTATTGTTTGGCCAAGCAGTCCTGTACCCTTATTTGTACGTCCATTGCCCTTGCTCAGCTAGCTTAAGTCCTGGATCGGTTTTGCTTTTTCTCCCTAACTTTGTGACTGGAAACTTTTCCTTCCGTATCTCTAATAGAGAGCTGAGGCTTAGTTGTATAAACAGAAGGTCAGTGCTATTTCACCTTTCCTACCCCAACGTCAAGATTTATTTTCATGGAATGCTGACAGGAGCTTTTATTTGTTCTGAAAATGCCTGCATTTTATATTTTATATGTATGTTAATAAAGGTAATAGGATGAAAGTGCTATAATGTTTGGTTAAATTGGAGAGAACAAAGTTGTCATGTTATTTTGCAAAAGGAGAGCACATCCTTCCCCTGAAGTTTCTGCCATTTTTACCCCCTTAAGAGTTGATAGTATTCTCCTAAAAACTAGGTGCAGGAGGTATGACCAACATCCACAAACTTCTTTTTCTAGAGCCCAGCCACTGCTAAATTTCCTCTGTCCTCTATGTCAAATGGCTTTAGAATATAAAAGCCAGAAAATCCAAAGAGGGTATTTTGAGGGTCAGTATTTTGGGGTGGGACAAAGGATGCCATGTGACATAAGTAAAATATTCCTCCAATGACACTTTGAATTTTTCTTTGTAAAACAGATACCAACTTATGATTTTAAAACATAAAGCTTGTGATCCTTTTGTCTTGTCCTCCTCTACAGACATTTTCTGTTCCAATTCTACATTTTCTTCAGACTACATTGGGGGACAGGGGGTGGCCTTTCAGACAAGCTGATGACTTGACTCTCAGTTTTGACCTTGTGTCTCAGGAGAACTTGATCATCTTAGTGAGATGAGGGCTGGCAGAATCATGAGGAAGTGCTGGGGAAGCCATGTGGTATATTCTCCTCAGATATACAAACTAACTCTTTTATTGTCATGTTTCTTTCTTCACAGCTGATGAGAACATCCCAGCAAAGATCCTGTCTTACAACCGTGCCAACCGAGCTGTTGCAATTCTTTGTAACCATCAGAGGGCACCACCCAAAACTTTTGAGAAGTCCATGATGAACTTGCAGTCTAAGGTAATGTGGATCTGGATGGTGTGGTCGCAAAATGAAGGGAGCCACATCTGCTGTGGATAGATGATCTGCAAATAAGAGGCCTTCTGGGCTGGGATATGAGAAGGCCAGTTCTAGGTCTGTTCTGGAAGATATGTCCATGCTAAAGATAAACAAATGGAAATATGATAGGAGTTATCCCTGATGAAGATAACTGAGTATCAGGTACTCATTGTTCAGAAAGTCTATTTCCAACTTCGGCTCAGGTCATGATCTTGCGGTTCGTGGGTTTGAGTCCTGTGTCGGGCTCTGTGCTGACAGCTCAGAGCTTGTAGCCCGCTTCAGATTCTGTGTCTCCCCCCCTCTCTGCCCTTCCCCTGCTAGGCTCACATGCACGTGCGCACTCACCTGCTCTCTCTCAAAAATAAACATTTAAAAAAAAAATTTTTTTTTTTTTTTATTTTTTTTTTTTAATAAAGTCTGTATTCTGTGGACAGAACTCCTGCACTGGCCACTCTTCCTATTTTGAAAAGCTGAGTTTGATGTGTGCCCTCTTTTGAAATATTATTGTCCTTATTATACATGAGAATAATGGATATAAAGATGGTCTTCACCATTCCTTGCCACAGTCCAGAAATACAACTGTTTCTAAATTAGATTGCTTCAAATTAAAAAGATGATGAACAATGATATTTTATTTCCCCCTAATCCTAGCACAACTATTTTTATTTTTACACATTCCACATGACTCATATTTTTATGTAGCTCATCATCAAACATCTGTTGAATTCTGGCTGTGTGTCAGAGTTGCTGCCCTAGAGGGAGAGAGACATGCAAACAAGTAGATGCTATTCCTCTTCCATGTGCTTTTCTTCCTTCTGACTCTGTCTGGCACTAAACACTTCGGTGGTGAGCGTTTCTGTGTTAGCGATGGCTACGTAACTAATCCATTCCAACGTACTAACTCTCAGTGAGAACTGGCAGGTATTTCACTCTAGAACAGACACATAGGGTTGTCACAAAGGACCAATTATCCTGAAATACACTTACCAAGTATATTTTAAAGTCTGTGATGTGCTTCCTTATTAACTTATTAAGTAAGATCTGAAGGTGGGTCTAATAATCACTAAATTTCAAGGTGGGTCTAATAATCACTAAATTTCAAGGGTAGTAAAGAATACATAAACAATACTTAAGATTTCTGCAACAATTTTAATGATCCGGAAATATCTGTATTATATTGGTGGCGAATATATCATAGGTACTACTGATACTACTATGGTTTGTTGCCCACATTCATAATTGAAGACGAAATGATGAATTTCAAACAGGTTAGTGAAATTACAGATGTAATTCTTTTCCATCCACATTTACAGAATTCTGTACTAGGACAGGTGGAGTTTAAACATGACTTGTTACAGGGGTGCCTGGGTGGCTCAGTTGACTAAGTGTCCAACTTTGGCTCAGGTTATGATCTCATGGTTCGTGAGCTTGAGCCCCACACTGGGCTCTCTGATGTCGGCACAGAGCCCACTTTGGATCCTCTGTCTCTCTCTCTCATCTCTGCTCCTCCCCTGCTTGTTGTCTTTCTCTCTCTCTCTCTCTCTCTTAAATAAATAAATAGGGGCGCCTGGGTGGCACAGTCGGTTAAGCGTCCAACTTCAGCCAGGTCACGATCTCGCGGTCCGTGAATTCGAGCCCTGCGTCGGGCTCTGGGCTGATGGTTCAGAGCCTGGAGCCTGTTTCCGATTCTGTGTCTCCCTTTCTCTCTGCCCCTCCCCCGTTCATGCTCTGTCTCTCTGTCCCAAAAAAAAAAATAAACGTTGAAAAAAAATTTTTTTTAAATAAATAAATTTAAAATAAAAACTAAAAATGACTGCTATAAAGTGAGGCTCCATACACATTTTCAGGTCCATATATTTTCCTCCTGTTGAAATTTCTTCAAGATAAATACCCGGTAGTAGTATGTCTGGGTCAAAAGATACCCACAACCTACAGTTCATGCTACAGGTGCCATCTGGTTTTGCTAGAGGGATGCACATACGCACAGTAAATGAATATATACCCCTAGGCCTCTCAAATCCTTAGAATATATGGTTGGCAGGCAAAGAACCCTATAGGCCACCCATCCTAGCAGCTCCTGTTCGCTGCCACTCTGTTAAATGGTGGTCATGTGGAATCATCTACTCTCCCCGTGTTGTTGTTCCAAGCCAGAAATAAAAGCATGAATATTCAGGTGCTGTTTACCCAATTCAAGCTACCCATCCCCCTGGAGCATGAGGAGGTATTTTGTTGATCTTACTCTGGAACCACTGTTTGGGCAGCCCAGGGCCGCCTGCCAGACGAGCCCTCCGAGCCCAGGAACCCTCTCCTGTGTGCCCACAAAGCAAACACACGCCCCTGTTTGCCAAGTGAATCAATGGAGTCTTTGATGCTTTGAGAGAATTTGAAACAGCCTGCCAATTTAACATCCACGGAAATGGTTAAAAGATTGTGGTCTGTTAAATTTCTAGCCCAAGAAGAATCTAGCTAGTGGTGTCTGATGCTTTTGTGTATAGAATCAGTTCCTTCAGCTTGACTTTGGACAACATGGATGTTGGAAGTAAGCCATTCATAGTAAAATACATTTAATGATTCTCTCACAATGGTGGCCTCTGTTTCCAAACTTGGGCTATATGTGTATATTTAACAGACAATTCTAGGCTGAGAGCAACAGCCCAGACTGTGTTGAATCAGGCAAGTATTTATTTACTCTGCAGAGGTTCCCTCGACCTTGTAGGTTAGGAAAGGTAATAGCACATCTGAGGTTCTGCCCCCAGCAGCATGAGCTCCCTGGTTTGGGCTCTAGTTTCCTGGTGTTGCCTGCTGCTGTCCTTAAGCAAGAACTAAGAGCTTAGGTTTTCCAGAGGCCCTCCAAGTGTTCTATAAGCAAGAAAGGGTGGAATTGCTTGTTTCATCCTTTATAAACCGGGATTCCGTGAGATTTTATTTGGAAAAAAAAGCTCCATAGCTAAAAATGTTTTCAGACCTCTGTTTTTGAGTGATAACTGCTTTAATTTCCTTCCAGTCTCAGCTCCCTTTCATTTAAAATACAGAAGGCCAAAGCCAGGCTGTGCCATATATAGGTTTCAGCCGACTGGCTGAGCTGTTTAGCTTCCTGGGTTCCCTTGGGTATTCTCTCCAGTGCATCCTTTTTTCCTGAGAAGCTGGCAGCTCCTTCCCAGAGTGCTGGCAGAATCTGAGGAATGAGCTGGGTTCAGTAGATGCAAGGATCCTGTCTCAGCTTCATAAAGAGTTATCTCCTGCAGTATTTGTAGAAGGAAGGCTATAACCTGACACAGGATCCATTTAGTAAACAGTTTTCATCTGTAGCCCTCCTCCCAGGTGTCTAAAACTAAAGCGTTATGTGATCGAAAGATTGGCACTCACATTCCCAGTCCTGGCAGGTTCTGTAACCTGAGCTTTTGCATTAAGGGGACAGGCCCTGGGTCACTGCCTATAGAAGGATCACCGATTTCTTGAAGGGTCACTGAAGAACATAAGTGACGAAATAGCATTTGCATTCAGCAGTCACTGTGCATCTAATCTGTGCCTTCATGAAGCCACCCTGGGAGAGGGGGGAGGTTTATGTGGCATGCCACTGACATAGGCAGCCTGCCTGGTGGAGACAGCTTCTAGGTTTCATGTCTGATGGAGCTCTTTTCTCTCCGGGCTGATTTTATTTTATTTTTAAACCTTACTGTTCTTCCCCACCTAGATTGATGCCAAGAAGGAACAACTAGCAGATGCCCGGAGAGACTTGAAAAGTGCTAAGGCTGATGCCAAGGTCCTAAAGGATGCAAAGACCAAGAAGTATGTACCTGGTTGTTATGCAGAGCTGGGGACTGGTTGAGAGAAAAGCAGGGGTAATATCAGAGGCCCAGGGCCCCAGCTTTTCTAGAGTTTCTGAGTGGTATCTTTTGGAAATCTCTGTATGTATTTAGGGTTTTCCTGCTTTTGCTGCCCCTGCATGGCCGGGTGGGGTTGCAGTGTTTTTGTCCAGAAGCTAGGCCTGGTTCTTGATGACTTCCATTCTTCCAGGGTGGTAGAGTCAAAGAAGAAGGCTGTGCAAAGACTGGAGGAGCAGTTAATGAAGCTCGAAGTTCAGGCCACAGACCGAGAAGAAAATAAACAAATTGCTTTGGGAACCTCCAAACTCAATTATCTGGACCCAAGGATTACAGTGGCTTGGTAAGTAATCTTTGGGCCCTTCTTGGGGTCCTGCTGCTGGCTTGAGAATGTAGTGGAGGGTTCAAGAGCACTGTTGGCCTTCCCATGCCATCCCTTCACCTCATACTTGCAAGTCCTTTGGGAAATCCTTGCCTTTCTACTATGCACACTGCAACTGCACTAGAACATCTTCAGTGACCCTAAATGGTCAGTAATGTTGTTATACTGCCTTGGAGCGTGTTTTTGTCTGTTTTTAAAAGGCAGTTGCAGCCTCTACCCCTATGGAACTTTAGGACAAGAATAGGAACTCTTGGCCCTTATTAAAGGAAAAATCTAAAAGGAGCCCATCTATCTACACTTGAACAAAACTTTTCGATAAATTTTTTTTACAAATGAAGAAAGGAACAAGCAGGAAAAAAAAAGACTGCAGATCTGAGCAACGTACAGAGTTAGAGGGAGCTTATAACAAAGATAAATTCTCTATTGTTTGTGTCCGCTTTTAACCCCACAGTCATAAAATGACGTCCAAAATAAGTGAGTTTTATTTATTTTTTGGAAGATGCTTATTAATTAATGTGCATTTTTCTGAGCCTGACCTGCTCCTATGGGTCAGGGATTCCACCCGGCTCTTGTACCCTTTTTGCTCTTTTGCCCTGTTGGGTGCTAGAGGTTGAGTTAGATTGACGGGCAGTATGCATTGTGGTTGAGAGCATGGACACCAGAGCCAGACAGCTTGGGTTAACTTTTTAGCTCCATCTCACTAGCTGCATGACAAGGTAAGCAAATTACTCAACTCCCTGCATTAGGTTTTTTTCATTAGTACATCTGTAGTAGCATCTACTTTAGAGGTCACGAGCACATGATACTGTTAGAATATGTTTGGCATGTTCTTAAAATTCATTCTCAGCAGATGGACACAAAGCAAGCATATTCAGGTCCCTGCCCTGGGTCTGGGCTGTTGCTCCCTGAGACACTAATCCCCCTTTTTCTCCTTTGTGTACAGGTGCAAGAAGTGGGGGGTCCCAATTGAGAAAATTTACAACAAAACCCAGCGGGAGAAGTTTGCGTGGGCCATCGACATGGCTGATGAGGACTACGAGTTCTAGCCAGTCTCGAGGGGCGGGCAGGGTTCTGTGAAAAGGAACAGTGTGGTTTGGGGAAGGTGGATAAACTGTGAGCCTTGCTTACCCTCACAGCTGAGGGAGAGAGGCGGCAAGTCTTAACAAACGAACATCTTTGCGAAAAGATAAACCTGGAGATATTATAAGGGAGAGCTGAGCCAGTTGTCCTATGGACAACTTATTTAAAAATATTTCAGATATCAAAATTCTAGCTGTATGATTTGTTTTGAATTTTGTTTTTATTTTCAAGAGAGCAAGTGGATAGGAATTTGTCAGAGTTCTGCCAGGCAAATTCACTGTTTCACTGAAGCATTTGGATTCTCTTAGCTACTGTATACGAAGTCCGATTATATTGGTGCGTTTTTACAGTTAGGGTTTTGCAATAACTTCTATATTTTAATAGAAATGAATTCCTAAACGCCCTCCTCCCTCCCCCATTTCAGGAATTTAAAATTAAGTAGAACAAAAACCCAGCGCACCTGTTAGTGAGAATTGTCACTATCTATTGTCATGGGAATCAATTTTCATTAAACTTGAAGCAGTCGTGACATCGGCAGTGTTTTGGTTCAGACACCTATTCACAGAAAAGCATGATGGGAAAATATTTCCTGACTTGAGTGTTCCTTTTTAAATGTGAATTTTTATTTCTTTTTAATTATTTTAAAATATTTAAACCTTTTTCTTGATCTTAAAGATCGTGTAGATTGGGGTTGGGGAGGGATGAGGGGGTGAGTGAGTCTAAGGATAATGAAATAATCAGTGACTGAAACCATTTTCCCATCATTCTTTGTTCTGAGCATTCTCTGTACCCTTCATATATCCATCTTTTTCATTTTAAACCCAATCTTTCACTTGAAAGATTTTATTGTGTAAAAAGTTCCACGAGTCAATAATTTAGAGGAAAATGAGTATTTGGTCCAAAAAAAGGAAAAATAATCAAGAATTTAGGGCTTTTATTTTTTTCTTTTGTAATTGTGTAAAAAATGGAAAAAAAAACCATAAAAAGCAGAATTTTAATGTGAAGACATTTTTTGCTATAATCATTAGTTTTAGAAGCATTGTTAGTTTAGCGTGTGTGCAGAGTCCATTTCCCACATCTTTCCTCAAGTATCTTCTATTTTTATCATGAATTCCCTTTTAATCAACTGTAGGTTATTTAAAATAAATTCCTACAACTTAACGGAAACCTAGTGTCTGCCTCTTTGTTACACAAGGTCCCCGACCTGACTGGGGCAAAGTTGGGGTGGGGGGCGTTGGTGGGAGAGGGCAGGGCTCGGCTCTGTGTGGGATGTGCTCTCATTGCTCAGCTCGGCACTGGCGGCTCCCTCCCCAGGGGTTGGGTGGGGCCTGGAAGGGGCTGCACCTGTCTTGCTGCCTTGGGTGTGGGTCAGAGGGGAGCCAAAGTCCATATCCTAAGATAAAAGCGGGCCCAGGAAGTAAGGGAGGGTGCAAGAACTGAATTTGGAGCCCAGGGTAGGTATTGTTTATTGAGCAAGATAAAGTGAATGTATTTGGGAGACAGGCTTTCTGAGCATATTGGCCAGAAGCAGTAGGGAGCTTGTCTGGGTTTGCTTGTCTGGGTAAGCTTACAGTCAGGATGGCAGGAATTAAGGGTACTAAGCCAGTTAGGACACTGGATCCCAGAGGCCCAGCTGTAGGCTTCTCCTCGTGTTGATTGGTTAATTGAAAAAGCGTGGTCTGTGGCCACTCCCCAGGGCTCCTGTACCCACATTTGTAGGGTCCCTAAAAAATTGTTCCTTTCTTTATACTAGGTTACTGTTAAGTCTGGAATTTAGGGTGAAGAGAGAGCTTTCCTGGCCAAATGGAGCAGGAAGAAGATCAGTGGTCAGAATTGGCCACTTAGCCCTGGGCCCTCTAGCTTGCTAGCATGCATGCACAGGTATATTCTGGGAGGAGAGCCATCTCCTGGATGGTCTCTCAGCTCCCTGGGGCTGGGTGCTGGTCTGGTGTTGGCCCACTGCAGAGAACCCTGGAGGTGCTCCTTGGCAGCCCGCATTTCATCGGTCAGTGAGGGAGGTAGCATTCACCCCAAGAATAAAGGAGGTTATATACCGTCAGTGCGTTGGAGCAGATTACAACCACGTATTTTTTTAATCGTGTGGTGTAGAGGTAGCTAAAGCATTGAACATAAGAAATGGCAACAGAGGCTCTTGCAACACCTGATCAGTACACTGTACTTTATGGCTTGGGGGTGAGTGATGAGAACATGGGCCCGAGGTTTGGGACTGGAGCAGGACCTGCCACAACCAGGGGACAAATCTTAGTCCATAACTAGGAATTAGGGACAGGAGGCCTCACAGGCATAAGATTTTATTCATGGGCAGCAGCAACTCGTGCCTACCTTTCCCAGCAGGGATCTTCCTACAGGTCTTCTGAGGGCAGGTGCATGGCAACTAAATCCTGGTCAAGAACGATTGTGAAGGGCTCCCTCAGTGGTGGCAGGCCTGGGAGAGCAAACCAGAGGATGGGAAACTGACCTGTCCAGTGGGGATGAGGGAAGAGGCTGGACAGGTAGGTGAGGGCCAGCTGTGAAAGGCCCTGAGAAATACTTGAGCCTGGAGTCAGGAGAGAACTCGCCTCACTTATTCCTCCAGTAGATTTGGTTCCCTCCTCACACTTCTGGCTTTGTCCAGGAGCAGAGGCCCGATGTGTAAGGTCCGAAAAAGCCCCTCCTGTCAGGGTCTTCTGGAATGCTCAAGTCCAGCTGTAGGCAAAGTGGAACGCAAGCCAGGTACCTGGGTGCTTGCTTGCTGCTCAGCAGCTCCTCCATCCATCAAATCCACCCTGGACTTAACATCACGTTTGAAAGAAAAAAGGAAGCTCCTAGCTCCCAGCCATCTCCCTCTCCCTCACCATCTCTCTCTCCATTTCACATATGAGTGCCTGGAGCCAGTCATCCACACCACCAGATCATTCCCCACCCACTGTAACCAGCGTCTGTCCCACCTTGCCCCCAATTCCTCCCTCCGTTCCAACCACAACCGCCAACAAGTGAGTGACCGATAGATGGGCTTGTACCGTGTATCTTAAGCTTTTTGTGGCACTGGGCATGTGACTATTCTTTGATTTAGTAGCCCTACTGAAATATATTTTACATACCATAAATATCCACCTGTTTCAAGTGTAACATTTGTACATACTGAAGGTTATGGCTGTCACCATAAGTCACTTTTAGCATATTCTCCTCCCCAGTAAGATGCCTCGTGCCCATTTAAGAGTTAATCCCCACTCCCACCTCCAGCCTCCACTAAATCTACTTGCGCTATACCTTTGTCTTTTTCTGGACATCACACACACAAATGGAATTGTACAATACGTGCCCACTCCCCTCTCCAAGCACTTCTCTTTGGCTTCCACAATGGCCCCCTCTCCTGGTTTTACTCCAGTCTCCGCCAGTCTGCTGCATCTTGGTTACCGCCCCCC